TTTAGAGTCTCTGCAGAACTAGCTATGAAACATTTTTACTGTCAATTTAACAGCTTGTCTCTGGCTGAGAGGTTGTATGCTAAATTGCTAATACTCTAACAGGCCTCTTCCCCCAACCCCAACTCCCCTGGGGCTTTATTTACTGAAACAGCTTTCCTGTCAAGTTAGTGTAAAACTGTTCTAACGTTAACTTGCAGGCAGCAGCAAATCCATTTTCAGAAACTGGCTGAATACTGGGCAATAGACTTTAAAACAAAAAATACACAGCTTGAAAAAAAATGTTCATGTCCAGAACTGGACACAGTATTCCAGCAGCAGTCACATCTGTGCCAAATACAGAGGTAAAACAACCTCTGTAATCTTATTCAAGATTTCCCTGTTTATGCACTGAAGATTGCACTAACCCTTTTGGCCACAGTGTCACACTGGGAGCTCATGTTCAGCTGAGTACACACCTGAGTACACCTCCAAATCTTTTTCAGAGTCACTGTTTCCCAGGATAGAGTTCCCCATCATGTAAGTATGGCCTAATCTTTGTTCCTAGATTTACATTTAGCCATATTAAAACTCATTGTTTTTTCACGTGCAGTTTACTAAGCAATCCATTCTGTATCAGTGATCTGTCTTCTTCATGATTTACCCACAACTGTGTCTCTGCAAACCTTATCAGTGATGATTTTCTGTTTTCTTCCAGGTTATTCATAAAAATATTAAATACTGTAAATCCAAGAATTGATCCTTGGGGACCACTCTAGAAACACCCCTATTTGATGATGATTCCCCATTTGCAATTACATTTTCAGACCTATCAGTTAACCAGCTGTTAATCCATTTAATGTATGCCATCTTAATGATACATTTTCTAATTTTTTAATCCAAATGTCATACAGTACCAAGTCAAATGCCTTCCAGAAGTCTGTGGGTCTTAGATCAGCACTATTACCTTTATCAACCACACTTGCAATTTTATCAAGAAAAGATGTCAGGAGTTTGACAGCATCTACTTTTCATAAGCCCATGTTGATTGGCATTAATAAAGAATCAAAGGAGGGTAATATAATTAAGTCCTGAATCAGCCACACCATTATCTTGCCCAGGATTGATGTCAGATTGACATGCCTGGGATATCCTGTTTTTCCTTGTTAAATATTGGCATGACATTAGCTTTATTCCAGTCTTCTGGAACTTCCCCAGTGTTCCAAGACTTACTACAAATCAGCATTAATGGTCCAGTATGCTCCTCAGACAGGTCTTTTAAAACTCTTGGATGCAAGTTATCCAGACCTGATATTTTTAAAATGTTTAACTTTAGTAGCTCATAAATGTCAGCTTTGTGAAATTGGCCCTTTTAAAGCACCACGTATTTATATTACTGGTTGGACTTTATTCAGTGTCTATGTTATAAATGCGATCAAGTCACGATCACTTGTACCTAGGCTACTATTAATTTTTAGTTCTGTGATCAGCTCCTCTTTATCCATCCAGATGAAGTCTAATATAGATTTACCTCAGGCTGGATGCAACACTTTTTGGGTTAGGACATTTTGGAACAGGACCAGTAGGCAATCTGTTAGCATATAAACTCCTCTGTAAAGGACTTGGGGGACTCCCTGTAGCATCAGCTTTGCCAACATGGTCTGAACCAGCCCTCTGCATGAGGCATTTCCTCCTAAAAGGGACTGAGTAGAGCAGACTCCAGTACATTGTATTATCCTGCTATTTATCCAAGGAGCAAGCTGCTGGAAAGGTCCTTGATGTCCAGTACTACCTTTGGTAACATTCTGATGCCTCTACATTCCAGTAAATTATTGAGATTGAAAAGTGAATTGAGAAGAGGCTCCTCTGACAGATATAAAGATTTTCATGAATGCTCTCTCTCCCCACCCCACCCCACCCCAGGCGGTATCACCCTATAAGTGCCAGCTCTTCCCCAGTCAACTGGTACTTGCACTATTATACAGCTGGCTGTCACCGTGTGCTCAGGTTTCATATATTTATAATGAAGATGTGCTACCTTCTTAGACTGGCACAAGGAGATAGGACAAATCATGAGAGGTCGGCACAAAAAACTTCATTAATCTCTCTGATAGTAAAACATCCTGCTGCTATACTTACAAGTAAAACCCACAGGGTGGTGCATTGAAATGAATCCAGATAGAACTACAGTAGCACATGCTGCTTTCAAAGGGTAATAAATCTGGGGAAGCAAGGGTTCATTCTTAGTACTTATATACCTAATGAATCAAATTGTCTTTGTCAGACTTTGTTCCCAAAGTGAGGGGTTCTCCTGCTGGAGCTATACTACTGTGTTTTAACATTTTGTACCTCTGCTGCTTACTTTTAAAGAAAGTTATAGGTGGGCTGTTCAGTTTAGCTTTGTACTGTTTAAACAGAGCGAGCAAACGGATGCTTTTCAAAACTCACTTAACTGGAACTGGAAACATCATGTCAGAGTCTGCAGCATGTCTGCCATATTGTCATCTCTATTGCTGCTCAAAAGTGACACCTGCATTAGTGGGAGCAAGGAATGTACACAGAGTACTGACCTTCAACAGGGTGTGGCATGCGCTCTCCATGTACCAGCCGTGCACGGTTGTATGTTGTAAAGGGATATGGCTTTGAGTGCTAGACTTCACACTCCACTTAACACCCACAGACTGGAAGAGGCAGAATTGTGGTTGCCCCTGTGAAAATGTCGAGACTCACTGCTCCTGTCACACTCATACAGGAGTTGACATGATCTGGTCCTATGTACAGAGGGGAGATGTGCAAATCACAGGGGGTGTCTCACAAGGAGGTTTTTGATCCTCTTTGTTTCGTTTAGGTTTGTGCCAATTTGCACCTTTCAGTTTTGGATTCAACCCACAACTCAAAGTGGCTCTGAGCTGAAACCATTGCATGTTTTCTGCCTGAGAAGATAAGACAGGACTCCTTTCCTCCAACAGGGTCAGTTTTGCATATCTCCATTCTTGGCATGCCAGGGTTACAGGTGGAGCAAGTGCAATCAGCAATATCATCTAGACCGCTCTGAGCAGGGTTACATGACACTGTGATTAAAATGTTGGCGATAGACATGTCTGCCAACCCTACACTTTTCCCCCATAGATATAGAAAAGCTGTAATTTAGGTCTGGGTGAACTCCTCCTGCTTCCATCCAATTGGTTGCCTTTGTCCATTCCTCTGCCTCCTACAGAAGAGCAACCAATCAGAACTGCTGCGTGTTGCAAGCAGAGCAGTCCCCCTCCCCTCAGGAACAAACATAATATACTGTGCGTAAGGAGAGGGAGAGAGGAAATAGCCAATACCACTCTCACGAGAGCATATGGAGAGAGAAGGCAGCAGAGAAATTAGCAACTCAGTGTGACTCCACTCCCTCCCACCCTCCTTTTGTGAATATCATGTTGACTTCTCTTTGCTCCTTTTCCTCCCTTCTGCTCACTTTTCCCCTACCCTGCAGGCCCAGGCCTGGAATGGGGAGGAGGGTCAAGATGCAGCTGATACAGCTACCATCTCCTAGCCCTGATCTAGAGGTTGTGGGGGAGAAAAGAAGAGATCCCTGCTAGATCTGCCCCATCCTGCAAGACTTGGAGGTGAAGAACCAACCCCTGAGTTGCAAGGGGAGCCAACCTCTGTGCTGCAGATGTGCTGGGGAACAAGAAGCAGATATGTGGCTTGAGTGGAATGCAAAATTAATTGGTATGGGTCTAGGATCTTTGGGGTGCAGAATTGATTGAGGGCACAGATTTCTGACAGACTGTAGAAATGGGCAGATGTAGGTCAGGCAGGTGGTCACAGAACTACTTGGCATTTGTGGGTTTTCAGAGGAGGTAGAAGCCCCCCAATAATCATCAGGACTTTATGCAAATTTGTGGGATTTTATGCAAATGTTACCATTTTAACGCAAATTTTAACCTTTCTTTTTTGTCGTAAGATGTTGGCAGGTACGTGCTGTTCTACTAATGCTACCAACATTGCTAAAATGGAGAGGAGCTACACTCATGCTAACACAATAGTAGGGTATTTTAAGGAAAAAATCCAAACTGTCCTTTTCATCACCTATAAATGTACATATTCAATAATTATTAGCAGAACTATTCATTTCCTAGCTGGCCTTGAATGTCAAGAAACAGGAATGTCATGACTTCATTAAAATTCAAGGAACAGGAGACATCTAACTTGTCATCCTTTTGCTGAACACATCCTTTCAATACATACAACAGGTGTGCAAGTTCACTATTAACTTTTTTTTGGACTCATGTAATTTTCCAACTATTATTAGCCATCATAGTAAGATGAAGTGGATCAGAACACCAGACCTCCCAATGCAAGTATCTCCTCTCCATTATCCATACATCAAACTTTCATTTCACTATCCCTTTTCATTAAGCTCATTATACTTAACACTATTACATTCAATGTGAAGAGAAATTAAATAGATTCTTCAGTAATTTCTGCTGTTGTCCTAACATAATACCAGCGACATTAAATTACTTTAACATAATAAAATACCAACTTTATAACATATTACAGATACAGTTCTGCGCAGCTTTCCTATTGGGATTTATCTGTTCATTATATTAAACACAAGGTTCATTTTACATGAGTAAAGTGTTATGAATATTTTGTTTATTATATATACAAAAATCAATTTCTAAGTTTCCTAACATATCTTATGACATATCCTATAAACTTTCATTGATTCCTTCTTTATTACTTGATAATAACATCAGAGTTAGGTCATTGCATAGTAAAGAATGTAATTAATTTTATTTAATGTATCAAATTGGTTTTAAATTCTTGTGGCGCTACTGGGTTTATATAAATCACGGACATGTTGGAATTTAGCCATCAACATATAACAACCCCTTCTATTATAAATCCTGGCATGCAAATAGTGACCAACAATATTATTGTATTATTTTCTCAGAATTTTCATTCTATTAAGTATATTTAAATGTTTAATTGTTTGATACAATCACCAGTTCCTGAGGAAACTTCAATCCATCGGTGATCTTCCTGATAACACCATCCTGGCCACTATGGATGTAGAAGCCCTCTACACCAACATTCCACACAAAGATGGACTACAAGCCATCAAGAACACTATCCCCGATAATGTCACGGCTAACCTGGTGGCTGAACTTTGTGACTTTGTCCTTACCCATAACTATTTTACATTTGGGGACAATGTATACCTTCAGATCAGCGGCACTGCTATGGGTACCCGCATGGCCCCACAGTATGCCAACATTTTTATGGCTGATTTAGAACAACGCTTCCTCAGCTCTCGTCCCCTAAAGCCCCTACTCTACTTGCGCTATATTGATGACATCTTCATCACCTGGACCCATGGAAAAGAAGCCCTTGAGGAATTCCACCATGATTTCAACAATTTCCATCCCACCATCAACCTCAGCCTGGTCCAGTCCACACAAGAGATCCACTTCCTGGACACTACAGTGCTCATAAACAATGGTCACATAAACACCACCCTATACCGGAAACCTACTGACCGCTATTCCTACCTGCATGCCTCCAGCTTTCACCCTGACCACACCACACGATCCATCGTCTACAGCCAAGCTCTGCGATACAACCGCATTTGCTCCAACCCCTCAGACAGAGACAAACACCTACAAGATCTCTGTCAAGCTTTCTTACAACTACAATACCCACCTGCGGAAGTGAAGAAACAGATTGATAGAGCCAGAAGAGTTCCCAGAAGTCACCTACTACAGGACAGGCCTAACAAAGAAAATAACAGAACGCCACTAGCGGTCACCTTCAGCCCCCAACTAAAACCCCTCCAACGCATTATTAAGGATCTACAACCTATCCTGAAGGATGACCCAACACTCTCACAAATCTTGGGAGACAGGCCAGTCCTTGCCTACAGACAGCCCCGCAACCTGAAGCAAATACTCACCAACAACCACATACCACACAACAGAACCACTAACCCAGGAACCTATCCTTGCAACAAAGCCCATTGCCAACTGTGCCCACACATCTATTCAGGGGACACCATCACAGGGCCTAATCACATCAGCCACACTATCAGAGGCTCGTTCACCTGCACATCCACCAATGTGATATATGCCATCATGTGCCAGCAATGCCCCTCTGCCATTTACATTGGTCAAACTGGACAGTCTCTACGTAAAAGAATAAATGGACACAAATCAGATGTCAAGAATTATAACATTCATAAACCAGTCGGAGAACACTTCAATCTCTCTGGTCACGCAATCACAGACATGAAGGTCGCTATCTTACAACAAAAAAACTTCAAATCCAGACTCCAGTGAGAAACTGCTGAATTGGAATTCATTTGCAAATTGGATACTATTAATTTAGGCTTAAATAGAGACTGGGAGTGGCTAAGTCATTATGCAAGGTAGCCTATTTCCCCTTGTTTTTTCCTACCCCCCTCCCCCAGATGTTCTGGTTAAACTTGGATTTAAACTTGGAGAGTGGTCAGTTTGGATGAGCTATTGCCAGCAGGAGAGTGAGTTTGTGTGTGTGTGTGTGTGTGTTTCCGGGGGGGGGGGGTGAGAAAGCCTGGATTTGTGCTGGAAATGGCCCACCTTGATTATCATGCACATTGTAGGGAGAGTGGTCACTTTGGATAAGCTATTACTAGCAGGAGAGAGAGTTTGTGTGTGTGGTTTTTGGAGGGGGGTGAGGGGGTGAGAGAACCTGGATTTGTGCAGGAAATGGCCCACCTTGATTATCATACACATTGTGAAGAGAGTGGTCACTTTGGATGGGCTATTACCAGCAGGAGAGTGAGTTTGGGGGGGGGGGGGTGAGTATTTGGATTTGTGCTGGAAATGGCCCAACTTGATGATCACTTTAGATAAGCTATTACCAGCAGGACAGTGGGGTGGGAGGAGGTATTGTTTCATGGTCTCTGTGTGTATATGATGTCTTCTGCAGTTTCCACGGTATGCATCCGATGAAGTGAGCTGTAGCTCACGAAAGCTCATGTTCAAATAAATTGGTTAGTCTCTAAGGTGCCACAAGTACTCCTTTTCTTTTTTGCGAATACAGACTAACACGGCTGTTACTCTGAAACCAGTTCCTAGGTGAACATTCCAAACAAACCAACATTAGGGACCTCCTCATCGAGACGGGTTGCAATTAAAGTTTTAAAATGGTATTTAGTTGGTGATGCTTTCTGAAATGTAATTTGCTTCAGCATTAATAGACTTTTGATTTTCTTTAGGAAATTATTGATTAACCAGAGTGATAAATACCAGAAGACAAATTAAGAATGGCTGAAGTTAGGTTTGATAGGTTTGCAGAGTAGAAATGAGAATTCTAAGGCTACCTGTGTGGCAAAGAAGAAATTCTACACCTCTATGACTCAGTACTTCGAAATATTTCTTGCTTTCTACTTAGGTACTTATATGACCCTGGCAGAGATTATGTCTAAAGGTCGACCCTTGTGGAAAAGGGAGGCACATCACATACTTTATGTGTCATTCCCTGGGTGACACAGTCCTGGGGTCTGGTCTTAGGGCCAGGGGGGTATAGCTCCAGTAGCACCTGTCAGTGAGTCTGCCCCCTTCTGGGTTCAGCATATGAAATACCCCAAATGAAAAAAAGGAAAATCATTCCAAGGGCCGCAGGCCCCTTCCCCCACATAAAGGAGGGGAAGCAGTCCATCAGACTCCACAGAAGTCTCGGCTCCTGCCCCTGCTACATGGCTGAAGGCTAAGTCCTAATCATGGGATTTCAACAGAAGAAACAAACTGTCCCAACTTTCTTTCCTCAGAGGGCTCAGACTGGCAGTGCTCTGAAGCTGTTCTGCAGCAAGTAACCTAGAGCCCTGCTCTGGGTAACTCTAGCTCTGCTTGTTTCAGAGCACTGCCTCAAGTGTACAGAATTCCTCGTTTTTAAGACCTGCCCCCACCTGACAAGCAATATAAATGTAATGGGATAGGGCTACTGTGACCGCAGGAGTTCTTAATGCTTTCTTGAATGGTGGGGAAGTTATCTGCCCTACTGCTGCAGTAGCCAAGCACCACAAAATCCTTAATATGTTACTTCTTAGAGCACCCCTGTGAGATAGAGAGGTACTAGTATCTCAATTTTAGAGGGGAACTGAAGCACAGAGAGACACTAATTTACTTGCCCAAGGCCACAGAGGGTGTTTGTAGTAGAGCAGGAAATTGAACCCAGGTCTCCCAAATCAATTGCTAGTACCTAGCCACTGGGCAATCCTTCCTCCCTTTCCTTGCACTTATATAATGTGCTCTAATAACTTTCTCTATTGAACTATATTAAGAATAAGATCTACTGCTGACATCTGCTTAAAAAAGAAAGATAACATTCAATCTAGCTACAGATACATATTCCAGAAGCTATTTTTGCAGGCCACCTGAATAAAATTGTGTGTGATGGACAGTATGTTTGATGTGCTGAAAACAGGCCTTGCATCCTACAAGGATGATGGGCAGTAACTGAAGAAATAGGCAAGAAATGTTCTTCCAGAAATATTTTAAAATCCTGGTAAGATTAACCTGACAATGTTAGGCTGGGGTCATGAACATAAAGAGCATGAAGCTCAGAAGAACAGGCTGGAAAGATATGAGCAGTCACATAAGCAGCAAGACAAAGAAGTTTGCACTGGCATTTGAAATGAATTGTGTTATTTGAAGAAACATTATCTCCCCTCAGCTGTAATGAGGTAATATGACTCCTGTTGCTGAGTTTTTCTGGAGTTAATGGAAATTAACCATAGGCTTGGATCATGAATGTGAAAGTAAGCATCCCAACACTCTGGCTGCTAAGAAAATGTATGTGATTACACTACAGTATCAAATTAAGCCTGCAGTTCTTTGTATGACTATGGTAGAAAATATGTCAAAAACAGAGTTATGAAGCACAGCTACTGTATGTGGATTTGCAAGTTACTTTGTCAAGAGTAAGAGTCAGACTAAGTCAGTGCAGTTAGACATTATCCAAATGTGGATAATTAAACTGGAATGGGATAATTAACATTGGAATATTGACTGTTAGGAAGGAACGTGAGAGGAAACGAATATATTTCAGAAGAAGGAATCTGAAAAGAAATAGGAAAGATAAGTCATTGTAGATGGAGGTATACGATGTTTCATTGAGCATTCTGGTGATTGAGAATGTTATGGTCTTTCTGAAAAATTACTAACCTATGAAATGACTACCCAAAATACTAAAAACCTGTAAAATGGTAACAATGGTAGTATGGAGTATTGCATTACCCAGTCACAGACGGTATTCCATTAAAGTGAAGGAAATAAAGCTAGAGAGATGAGGATCTGATGCAAGACTTTTTTTTCATTTTTATTGTGTTTGTTTATAAACCAAAGAAGAAAGAAATGACATTACACATATTACTGTTCTAGTACACAGAATACAAAAGGAAACATGAAGGAGAGAACATGAGAAACAGGAATCACAGGATCCTCAAGTTTAACAAAGTTATGAAGGAAAATTAAAGCAATATCAAGGAAAAAAAGAGGATGATAATGAATACAGGTAAAGAGAAAAAGATGAATGCACACACATTAGTAAGATGTCGCTGTAGCCCTAAATTAAATAAAACCAAATAATAAAAATAATCAGGAAGAAATCTGACGGAAGATCCTTGACTGGTGTAATTCCACATAGAGCCAATGAAGTTACATTAATTTATATTAGCAGAAGATCTGGTCTTAAATGCAAAAGAATCAACCCCATGTATCAGGTAAGTAGGCCAAAGAATCAACCCCATGTATCAGGTAAGTAGTCCATCCTTCCTCTTGCAGTTCTGCTTTCGGGTGATGTTCAACAAGTACAAGAGTTTGGAGCAGACCCTGCCCTTATATAAAATTTCTGTTCCCTCTTTCAAGTGACTCACCAACCAGTTTCAAAGCCTCAGTCAAGTAATTAAAGTCCCAGCCCCTGGAGTCAAACTGGGAGAGCCAGTTTCCTGTAGCCTGGTCATTCTTTTTAGCAAATCCATTGTTTGATTGAATGAGACACACACCTAGGCACAAAGCACCCTAACACAAGAATGGTATTGCAATTCAACATGGCAGTAACGGTATAGAAGGAAGGTCAGACTCATGGTTACACTCAAAATGGAGGTCAGAGTCTTCAAAATGGTGGTTACAATGTCAAGTGAAGGACACAATTTGGTACAAATTTGTCTAGATGTAACACTGACAGACCCTGATCATTGGCAGGTGGGATCGAACTTGGGGCTTCTGGAGCTTAGTGCATCAGCCTCTACTGCATGAGCTCAAAGTCAACTGGCTGTTAGCTAAGGCTATAGAGCAGACTCATTTTATCTCTTTCTTTAAGTGGTCTCAGTGCCTCTAGATGGGACAGAACATCACACCCAGGAGGTGCGTGGGTTGCCCAGACACATATCGACTCATCACAGCCTTACACAGAGGTTTGGTCTATAACTTGCCAAGGAGGACTGGAGTAATGTAGTTCCCATATTTCAGCATCAAAGGAAGATCCAACAAAGTAAAGCTATGTCAACCTGACTTCATTTGTACAAGACATTGAAAACTGCCCAGATTATTCATGCTCTATTTAGAAATATGAAGATGGAATAATTTATCTGGATTTCAGGAAAGCTTTCGACACTGTTCTAATTCAAAAGATTGATGCAAGAAGTTAATAAGTAGTTTGATGCAAGAAGTTAATAAGTCTATGCATATGGGTAGTAAGAGTTTTGAATTTACAGCTCCACTTTCTGTCTCTCTCTCAGGGAAGGGCAGTCCCTCGCAGGTCCCTCTCCTCTTTGTCTGATGCTGCAAGAGCCCCCACTCCTGTTTCAATCTCTGGGTGACGATAGAGGAAGTAGTCATGTGTTAGTTCCCTGTACTCTGAGACTGGAAAGAGGCAATCAGGAAAAGGTAACAGTACAAGGGAAAGAAAAACAAGTGTCATCAGATAATGATGCAAAATGTTTCCTTCCCCACTGCTCAGAGACCTAGAACTTCATTCTGCATCTATTGAAGTCAATGATAAAGCACTCAGGGTTGGATCTCTGCATCAGCTGAACTCAGTGGAGATACTCTCATTGATTTCAGGGGGCTTTGGATCAAACCTGAAAGACGATTACTGCCTCCAGAATCCACTGAAGGCCTTCAGTGCCTAGAAGTGAGATATCGAACCTTAGTTCTGAACCCAGAGTTCCCACAGACCAGCATGTGGTGCAGTTCCTAGACTGGTGTATTGAAAAATGAATATAATATTAGTGAGAGTAATTTAATTCTATTGTTATATTTAGTGCTCAATGTTGGGCAAGCTTAGGTATATATGCTTAAAGAGTAAGCACATGCTTAAATGCTTTGCTGAACAGGGGCCTGAGCCCCTCACAGGTGTTTCCAACCTCTACTTTTTATAATTTAAGTATTCAAAATGGTGGTATTGGAATGAGAAGAAGAGAAATAGAATTAAAGAGGAGCTACTCAGAGACATATTTTTGTTGGATACATAGCCATGAATACAAGGATTAGTCTGGGATTGAACAGCTCAGAAAGGTGGCAGATGGGATAGATTGGTAAAGATTTTGGTGAAGTGTTCTTAATATCATTTGTTTTGAATTATGAAAGATAAAAAACAGGAATCTGAGTGACAGAATGCAGAAGGGATTGGGGAAAGAGATGCAATGGATGGAAGCAAATAAAGTTATTTTAATTTAATTTAATTTGAATTATGGAAACCCAAATCAAGTGATTGGTTTAAGCAACTAAGAGGGAGCAGTGGTAAGGTGTTTGTGAATAGAAATAAACAGTCAGTGACTTGGTAGTAGATAGTTCCAAGAAAATGTTTGAACTTCAATATGGCAAGCAGGGTAGAGCATGACTCTCCAGTAGTTGGGTATAGATATGACTGCAGGGAGAGACTGAGCAGTATATAGTGTTGGCAACTTTTGTAAATTTAATTGCAAGCCTCACAATATCTGAAGTTTCTGTAAAGCCCCACCTCTGAGTCCTGTGATTACATGAGAATCTCAGCTTTCATTTTTTTAAAAGGATGTTTCCAGTTCTCATGGTTGCAGAGAAAAACTTGAAAACATGACCCAAGTGAACCCTTAAAAAGCTCAGAAACAGAAGGAAAATAAGTCCAACTTGATTTTTTTTAAAATCTCATTATTTTACGCCAATCATATGTATATGTGGGGCCTAACTCATAAATTATGAACATTAAGGGTTGGTAATAGTAGGCATACTTGGCAGGAAGTTGTATGGTGTTGAAAATTTGGTCTTTATTCTACACCCCTAAAGTTGGGATGAAGGCCAGACCTGACCTAATGGGACAATCACCAAGATAAAGATGATAAAATACTATTCAAGTGGGATGCAAAATGATTTACAGTCTGTAGCACTGGGATCCCATGTCCCTAATAAGAAAAGGAGTACTTGTGGCACCTTAGAGACTAACCAATTTATTTGAGCATGAGCTTTCGTGAGCTACAGCTCACTTCATCAGATGTATACCGTGGAAACTGCAGCAGACTTTACATACACACAGAGAATATGAAACAATACCTCCTCCCACCCCACTGTCCTGCTGGTAATAGCTTATCTAAAGTGATCAACAGGTGGGCCATTTCCAGCACAAATCCAGGTTTTCTCACCCTCCACCCCCCCACACAAATTCACTCTCCTGCTGGTGCTAGCCCATCCAAAGTGACAACTCTTTACATAATCAAGTCGGGCTATTTCCTGCATAGATCCAGGTTTTCTCACATCCCCCCCACCCCCATACACACACAAACTCACTCTCCTGCTGGTAATAGCTCATCTAAACTGACCACTCTCCAAGTTTAAATCCAAGTTAAACCAGAACATTGGGGGGGGGGGTAGGAAAAATCAAGAGGAAACAGGCTACCTTGCATAATGACTTAGCCACTCCCAGTCTCTATTTAAGCCTAAATTAATAGTATCCAATTTGCAAATGAATTCCAATTCAGCAGTTTCTCGCTGGAGTCTGGATTTGAAGTTTTTTTGTTTTAAGATAGCGACCTTCATGTCTGTGATTGCGTGACCAGAGAGATTGAAGTGGCCCTACGCTACCAGCACTCCCAGCTACCTTCGAGACACCACTGACTTCCTGAGGAAACTTCAATCCATCGGTGATCTTCCTGATAACACCATCCTGGCTACTATGGATGTAGAAGCCCTCTACACCAACATTCCACACAAAGATGGACTACAAGCCGTCAAGAACACTATCCCCGATAATGTCACGGCTAACCTGGTGGCTGAACTTTGTGACTTTGTCCTTACCCATAACTATTTCACATTTGGGGACAATGTATACCTTCAGATCAGCGGCACTGCTATGGGTACCCGCATGGCCCCACAGTATGCCAACATTTTTATGGCTGATTTAGAACAACGCTTCCTCAGCTCTCGTCCCCTAAAGCCCCTACTCTACTTGCGCTATATTGATGACATCTTCATCATCTGGACCCATGGAAAAGAAGCCCTTGAGGAATTCCACCATGATTTCAACAATTTCCATCCCACCACCAACCTCAGCCTGGTCCAGTCCACACAAGAGATCCACTTCCTGGACACTACAGTGCTCATAAACAATGGCCACATAAACACCACCCTATACCGGAAACCTACTGACCGCTATTCCTACCTGCATGCCTCCAGCTTTCACCCTGACCACACCACACGATCCATCGTCTACAGCCAAGCTCTGCGATACAACCGCATTTGCTCCAACCCCTCAGACAGAGACAAACACCTACAAGATCTCTGTCAAGCTTTCTTACAACTACAATACCCACCTGCAGAAGTAAAGAAACAGATTGATAGAGCCAGAAGAGTTCCCAGAAGTCACCTACTACAGGACAGGCCTAACAAAGAAAATAACAGAACGCCACTAGCGGTCACCTTCAGCCCCCAACTAAAACCCCTCCAACGCATTATTAAGGATCTACAACCTATCCTAATGGATGACCCAACACTCTCACAAGTCTTGGGAGACAGGCCAGTCCTTGCCTACAGACAGCCCCGCAACCTGAAGCAAATACTCACCAACAACCACATACCACACAACAGAACCACTAACCCAGGAACTTATCCTTGCAACAAAGCCCGTTGCCAATTGTGCCCACATATCTATTCAGGGGACACCATCACAGGGCCTAATCACATCAGCCACACTATCAGAGGCTCGTTCACCTGCACATCCACCAATGTGATATATGCCATCATGTGCCAGCAATGCCCCTCTGCCATGTACATTGGTCAAACTGGACAGTCTCTACGTAAAAGAATAAATGGACACAAATCAGATGTCAAGAATTATAACATTCATAAACCAGTCGGAGAACACTTCAATCTCTCTGGTCACGCAATCACAGACATGAAGGTCGCTATCTTAAAACAAAAAAACTTCAAATCCAGACTCCAGCGAGAAACTGCTGAATTGGAATTCATTTGCAAATTGGATACTATTAATTTAGGCTGAAATAGAGACTGGGAGTGGCTAAGTCATTATGCAAGGTAGCCTGTTTCCTCTTGTTTTTTCCTACCCCCCCCCCCCAATGTTCTGGTTTAACTTGGATTTAAACTTGGAGAGTGGTCAGTTTAGATGAGCTATTACCAGCAGGAGAGTGAGTTTGTGTGTGTATGGGGGTGGGGGGGATGTGAGAAAACCTGGATCTATGCAGGAAATAGCCCGACTTGATTATGTAAAGAGTTGTCACTTTGGATGGGCTAGCACCAGCAGGAGAGTGAATTTGTGTGGGGGGGTGGAGGGTGAGAAAACCTGGATTTGTGCTGGAAATGGCCCACCTGTTGATCACTTTAGATAAGCTATTACCAGCAGGACAGTGGGGTGGGAGGAGGTATTATTTCATATTCTCTGTGTGTATATAAAGTCTGCTGCAGTTTCCACGGTATACATCTGATGAAGTGAGCTGTAGCTCACGAAAGCTCATGCTCAAATAAATTGGTTAGTCTCTAAGGTGCCACAAGTACTCCTTTTCTTTTTGCGAATACAGACTAACACGGCTGTTCCTCTGAAACATGTCCCTAATGTCACTTTTCAGCAAGATAATGGCCATTAGCAGTAGACTCAAATGTGAAACGTTTAGACATAATGAAAGTCTTCAATATCATGTCTTAACAAAAAGTGCTTCTCACTGTGTAAACTTTCAGATACCAATGCTAAAGAAAATGTGGGCTTATAAAAGGTTCAGCAAGACTGTGTGTGTAAAACTATGAGAGCAGTTTCCACCTACACAGTACAAGTATAGCTTTAAAAAAGGAGACATTCCGCAGAAAACAACTAAGAGGTCCAGGGCCAGCTTCACCAATGCACTCCAGCTGCTTTGTGTCTCTCTACAGAGATTCAAACCATCTGTAAACCTGCTTTAACTGGCCAATTAATCTGGGTTGTGGCTGCTTTCAGTCTCTGGACCCACACAAAGTTTAGCAGTGAATCTAGCCCTCAGCATATCTGATACTACCTGGAAAAGAACCAACCAATGCCAAATAGCTGTTAGAGAGTTAGATCCTTGTTCAAAACTGAGAAGTCACAGATCAAAGAGAGTCAGATGACACAAACACAGCAGCACTTTGTAATACTAAGAACAAGACGACATAGATAACATTTTTGCCATTGAATGCAGTGGTGTTCAGCCCCTCCATAATATCTGACTTGACCAATCAAACTGATTAACCAACTTGACACAAGCCACATTGATTGAATAAGATCGCCAATAGGTCTGGGAGATTCTAAAAAGTTTATTTGTTCCTTGAATGGCATAGAAAGAAAAATGGTCATATTATTCGTTCACTGAGTTCATCATTATTACTTCAACTTTGTCAGAAATGAAAAACACGCACATTATTTTCAACTCATTCAGAAAAAATGTATAGCTTTATTAGACCTGCATACTTAAGAGATAATGTTCATTGTTTTGGTGTATACAAAGCAATAAACACCTTTTGAAGTTGGTTAAATGCTGAAGCGGAGTTTAGGCATTTGACAACCGTAACAAAGAAGCTGTTTATTGCAAGTACTTATATTCTGAACCATGAACATTATTCCTGTTATGACCAAATTAAAAAAAGGAAACAATGAACCATAAAGAAAATTTGCACTTTTTCTTTAAATATAAAGTGAGAGAGAGAGAGAGAGTGTGTATATAAATTCTATGCATCTGGTTTCTCAGACTTTCCACTGTGCCACTTTGGATGCATAATTGCTTTGAAGAAGTGTCTGAAGCAAAGTTTAAAATGTAAAAAAGGGAGCACTGTTTTATGGCAAACAAGTGATGTGATTACATATGCTGTACATACAAAGATGGATAAAATTTTCAAATAGGCTGCAAATTGCAACAGAAACAGGCATCTGTATTTGCAGACTGGATAACTGTACATCCATCATGCAGGCCTAGCTACCTCACTTGTACTCCAACATTTCCATTTGCATGTAGAAATTGTAGGCTCAATGTCTTCAGGTGCAGTTTTATAGGCCCATTAGAAAATCAGGCCTCAAGCAGAAATAAAACATCAATGACATTTGCAAGGGGAAAATGTGTGGTCCCTCTAGGCTACAATTGGCTGAAATCCTTCCCCTGCCATATACAAGAAACCTTTGACAGTTAAAAATATTTTAAATATATTATTGGTGGAATGTGAATTGTCTGCTTGCACATTAAATTTAATGCCTGATTCACACTTTCTGTTTCTATAAAATGATGATGTACACTAGGTCGTTTTTCTTTTTTATATGGATGGGAATATGTTACGTTGTATGTTCCTTCCAGGGCTACAGGAGTGCGGTGCTAATAAAAATAAGTCTTTTTAAGTATGGGTTGAAAAGTGGATTTGTTTGCATGCTAACTTTGCTGCCGCATAGAAATGCTTCTGTGCATAGAACTCCATACTGCATTTTCAAACCATCTGATACCGGGAACAATGCATACAGGTACTGTATGCACAGCAGAACAGAAAGAATGTGACTGATGATGTTCTGTGGCAGTTAATTAAATAAATGTTATGACACAAACCAACAAAAAGTAAAGAAATTTTAAAGCTGAAACGCGAACCTTAAATTACTCCAAAATAGTAACATGGTGAAACATATTTGATATTCTGTACAAGAGATTGTTTCTAGAATATAGTAATCTAATACACAAACAACAGGATGGCTTAAAAATGTCAGGTTTCAGAGTAGCAGCCGTGTTAGTCTGTATCCGCAAAAAGAACAGGAGTACTTGTGGCACTTCAGAGACTAACAAATTTATTTGAGCATAAGCTTTCATGAGCTACAGCTAAAGCTTATGCTCAAATTAATTTGTTAGTCTCTAAGGTGCCACAAGTCCTCCTTTTCGTCTTAAAAATGATGCCAGTTTTCTTATTATGCATTGTATCACCACTTTAATGCTACATAAATATAGTTTTTGTGAGGTCATTTCCTTGTTTACTTCCTTTCTATAACTTTTTTTTAAGTGCTTCATAAAAAGCATTTCAGAAGTGGAAACAATAGACAGTAATAACTCTGCAGAAGTGTTGTGTAAATATGTATTTTATGACTTATTAAAATGTGGATTATGTGAATGTGAACCCAGGGACTTTTTAAAAGGGTGGATTATAGTCTGAAAAGACTCCAGTTGGCTTTTTTGCATTCCATATGGCTCAGCAGACAAATACATGTAAAGACTGCTTTTAAAACATATTCCTGTGCATAATAAATAAATAATCATGGAAGATACTGTGATTGCATAGGGGTCACTAATTTGCTATTTTCCATTTTTACCACTGAACTTGTTTGTGAGTTAAACAAGTGGAAATTAGGAAACCTTATAGCAATAAACATACACTTTATACTTTTACAATATAAAAACAGACTAAGTGGTATTTTATTGTAAAATGATATGCTCCAGGGTTGAGACTTTATACTCCAGGTTTCAACCCACAGTAAATGTTGATGACCATGTTTATAAGCTCTAGAAAAGTGGGGTTAATGATGGAAAAACTGACATAACCTTCATTCTAGCTTAACCAGGAAGGACTGTGATAATGATGTGAACAGTTGGAGAAATGTTTCTGAGATACAGCGTGCAGTTTCCAATGTAGTCGCTGTGCTAAATGTTAGGCAATGGACTTTTCCTAGAACTGTGTTCTGATAATGGCTTCCCTCAAACTATGGTACAAGCATCTCATATAGCATTAACAACTGTCTTGTGGGAGAAAAGTTGTTATCTAAGTGCCATATTTCTTTCTGCCCCTTGTGAATGGATTTAAATTGATTCTGGTAAACTACAGAAGAGCCTTTTCTGTTTTCCACAAGATTCATCCCATTGAGGCTGCATTTTAGCTTGTAACAGCCACATTTTATTTTAACATTTCATTCCATGAATGTTCAAAACAGCTTTATTATATAAAAAATATTTATACAGCTTAAAGTCATACTAGCTAAAGCAAACATTACCTAGATACACACTACTAATAGAATTGGATTTTTTGGTAGGATAAGAATGCCATTCCTAGTACCTGGCTAATTTTTACAGCTGTCTATGGCTGGCAAAGAATGGAAAGCATTCCTTTGGGCATAGATAAGTCCATGCATGAAATCAGCACAAAGGGTGAAATTCACCCCTATGAAAAGGGTCTGTTTCATACCAGCCTCTGCACATGGGTGAATTTCACCAACATTGAGTGTTCCCTCATACTGATACGCATTTTGCACATTAAGCCATGCATTGTCTTTTACATGCCACATTTAGTCCTTCAGCTGTTTTGGCCATGCCATGTACCAATGAAAATGGTGTTAGATGTTAACTGTACAATTCAGAAATTTCCAAGCAAGCTTCATGGTTATCATAAAGTAACATGCTGTGATGCAACGTGGTAAACAACTCACAAGTTATGGGTGGCCAATTTTTGCTCAATATTTTTACATTCAAAAAGATGATTTCTGTCAAAAAGTACGAGGGAAAAAAGCTTAGGGAAGAAGACTAGAGACACAGGAGTTGGTTTTTAAGCACCAAGTCCTTTTATTTTTAATTTTGATTTCCCAGTTAACTCATGAAAAATACTTGAAAAGTACTCATTAGCATTTGGGTTTATGCATAGCAATTAATATAGTTAGGAAAGATCTCTGTGATGGCAGAACATAGCTTTATATATACAAACTATAAAACAGTACTTATAGTCCAGTAGAGTGGAAATGAAAAGTGGTATGTTAATTTGCTGAAGCCTTTAAAAATAAATATTTCCTGGCCCAATACTACTAAATTCATAATGTTGTTAGTATGCATTCACAGCAAACACCTTAATGACTCAGAAGGTTGCAACAAACTAATTTAACTCCAAAGGAGCTATTAAGCGTATTAAATGTTTCCCCTCTATTGACAAGATATTGGATTTGAAGGCAACTCCATTTAATAGTACTAAATCCAACAGAATTAAACCACTTATATGACATTAAAATACCATCAAAGGTCTCATTTCACGCAAAAGCAAAGATATTCAGGGCCAATTTCAAGCCCTGGTAGAAGGAGGTATAACTATCAACTTACATCAGCCTGAAAGCTGAAACACCCTTTTAATTGTAACATCAGATTACACAGATCAACAAACACACAGAGACATGTGCTTAAGAACTTTACTTAAGGGAGTCCACACACACTCCAAGCATGCAGTAAGTCCTAGGTACATCCATGTGACCAATAGAGGTTTACCTTTTGACACTAAGAGTAAGGTGGTTTTACCCCAGCTAGTCTCTTTATCATAAACCTCTATCCAATTGTCAATAAAGGACTACAATAAATGGCATGACTATGAGACACATATGGAAACAGGGAACCGGAGCATTGAAGAAAAGATGTACAGAAGATCTTGTGTGCCAACGTAGGTAGGTACAGTAATGCTATAT